AAATATATAACAAATTATAGAAGTTGACTTAATAACGCCAATAGTTCGGCAAATTTATTAACGCCGTCAGGTCGGCGATAAATATAAGCTTTACGCCGTCAGGTCGGCGATAAAAATAATCTCTACGCCGTCAGGTCGGCAAAAAAAATATGAATAGACCACCAGGTCGTCAAAAAACAACTAAAACAGTTCAGTCGGCATTAACTAAATAAAGCCGTCAGGTCGGCAACAACTTTACACCGTCAGGTCGGCGGAAAATTCTATCAAACGCCGTCAGGTCGGCGAAAATCGACAACATTATTAAAATCATTATTGGTACAATCGAGCCTAATAGCAAAGGAACTTTACTATGGAAATCCGGACCAAAAAATCGTGTTCTTGTTTAAATATTGAACAAAAATATTCTGCCCGGATGAAAACATTAAAATATCAAGAATATGAGCTTTCTTAATACTGTTGTCTCCAAACAACATTGGCCAAAACGGCGCCGAAGGCCAATTTGGAATAATTAAAGTTCCTTTAGCTTTGCACTTCTCCAAGTAATTTATAACCTGTGGAACAATACTTATAGGGGGCACAAGCCAATTATTTTCCCCAGCCCAAGAACAGGAGAAGGCATTCACTGCCTCTGTTTCAGGGACCCAAAACCTAGAATTAAATCGAAGTATTCTATTGTTGTAATGATTGGCAAATCTGTCAACAGTATGAGTGCCCCATAAATCATCCATGAAACAGAAAAAATCATCGGAAACTCCCCAGTCATCTACATCACAAAATTTGCTAATACAGTCTGCAATTTCGTTTTGGCTCCTTGGAACCCATTCAGTTAACAACGAAATATTTTCTTTCAAACATAGATTAAATATTTTAATAGAAATCTCGTGCAAACGAGATTTTGTACTTCCGTTTTCTACAATTCGTACACAATTTTGATTATCTGTACAAAGAAGCACTTGCTTGTCTTTTAGTTTAGGCATGAAACTTTCAATTGAAAATAATAACGCAGACAGTTCTCTCCAGGTAGAACTTTCTTTTTGTTCATTAATCGACCAATTTTTATGACAGACTTGATCATTTTCGCCTTTGATAAAAGCCCCCACATGCCTTACTACTTGCATCTGAAAATATAGTAATAGAATCTGACCCATTGTGAGTAAAGAGATACTTCACAGGTGTTTCCTTGAACTGATTTTCCCAGAAATGAAGCTCTTGAAAACAACCAGTGAAAAATGAAATATTTAAAACCGAATCCCAAGATGACCTAGATTCTATAGCTCTGTGAAAGATTTTTTGTCATCAGTTTGCAAACATTCCTATAACTGGCATCATTGAGACAATCTTCCCTGTTAATCTAGCGATTTCTCTGCCAGTCAAAAAAGGTATTTTTACTGAATAAGCATGCAGAAGATCTACAAACACTGACTAATCGTCTGCTAGGGATACTGATAGTATTTTCTTGCAAATTCCAGACTATACCTAACCATTCAAGAATTTGAGTGGGAACCAAAACTGACTTTTGCAAATTCAAAACAAAACCAGCCTGTAAAAGCACTGATTTAACAAATTCAGCATCTTTTAAGGTCAGTAAATAATTTCTATTTACACCCCAGCCATCATCTAGAAATAAACACTAACCTGACCCCATTTTTCCCGGATGTATTTAACAATATATCTCAAACATTTGGTAAAAAATAAAGGGGGACGGTGAAAGACCAAATGGTAAAACAGTGAAAACGTAATAGTTTTTAACATTGTTCTCTGACCAAGAAAAAACCTAAAAAACACTGATGAGTAGTGGATATATCAATGTGATGGTAAGCAGAAGTTATATCAAATTTAAACATAAATCCGTCTTTATAAAGATATTCATATGCAACTTTCCAGTCTTCAAATTTAAAATGTTCTTTCCAAACATATTTGTTTAAAACACTTAAATCCAAATAAGACGTTTTTTTACCTTGGCTATTTTCAGCTACAGATAAAGGACTAACAATATAAGGCACAAAACTAACTTTCAAGACAGAACCGGAACTCACTAATTTTGCTACGGCTTCAGAGACAAATTTTGAATGTTTAAGAGCGGACTTATTATTTTTCATGAAATAACTTTTTGGAACTTCTAAAAACGGAATTTTGTAGCCGTTCTTTATTACATCCAAAATAAAAGCAGGTGCCTTTAAGGTAACTTCCCAAAATCTATAATGATCACGCAATCTACCTTTAACATTAGAAAAATCGCTACATTTATTAATACTATTTTGACTGGATAAATTTTGATATTCAAAATATCTGTTTTGTAACAAAATGTTTTTAAAGTCTTTATCATTATTGTAAATCATATCTAGATATGAATACTCATCTTTCTCATCACTGCTTTGAAATGGCGGCCTTTGACTGCTGATCTTGCTTGAGCTGCATGAACTGCGGGACTTGAGGTTGTTGTTGTTGTTGTCCGAATTGCCAAGGGGAACCCAAGGTTCCGGAAACGGAAGTTGAGGCGACACCTGGTCCAGAATATTGAAAGGGACAATCCGGTCGGGTATGCCCCCATCCGCCACATGAAAAACATTGGATAACCTGCTGAAGCGTCGTGAGCCACGAAAATTAGGCATGAAGTTGGTATTTGAAGGAGGAACACCAGTGGAAGTAGAAGACCCACTAAGATCAGCAAACCCTGGGCTAGGTGTAGCGCTGGCAGGCTTCCGCGGCTGCTTAGATTTAAGTTTGGCAAGCGCCCTGCTCTCTGCCCTTTTAAGACGTTTATCATCGTCACTGTCACTGGCTAGGTCGTCTGACTCGTACTCTTTGACTGTGTCCCAGCCGCCTGCAGATTTATCAGCAATTCTGGTAAGCTTATTTCTATGAAATACCTTCTTTCTCAGGGCTTCAGATAATTCTAAGACTTTATTCTGCTCGCCCCTTTAAGTAGCCTCTTTAATGTCGTCCAAACCCTCAATAACGTCAAGATTGAAAACAAACTGTTTCTTGTTACTTCGATACTTGAAGTCCTTGGATGACGAAACGTCCTTGAAACGCTTTAGTGTGGAAGTCGAAGAAGAGTGTAATTCTTCTCTCAATTCTCTTTTCAATGACTTGAAATGCTGGTCGAAATAAGAGCGCATCAAACCAAATTGCTCAATGGAAGATTCATCTACAGAGCCATCTGTATTTCCATTTCTATCACTGAAGGACGAACTATCTCTAATTCTATCTTCTGATTCAGCCATTTATGATATCATAATGTATATGTTTACTGCACAATGCAAAGACTTCGAATGAGAAAAATCTTAACAACGATTATCAATACTTTACACGCACGGAAAATCCGTGCAAAACTGAATACCATAAATACTACAACCTTAAAGGGTGATACTCACTAAAACTAGATGATTTACTTTAACCTATGATAAATATATTTCTATTGTGTTACTTAAGCAGTAAGGGTTTCTACATGTATTTTTGCATATTTTGACCTCTTTATAGTAAATTACATAGGTTGTAAGTGCCATTGATAATGTGTAAATTGCATTCTTTTGGTAACTACAATAACATACTGTTAAATACATTTTCAAATTTTCATGAAAATTAGCATGAATCTGGAGGTGTGCTACTTTAACAGTTTTTAACCTATTGTCAGAATAAATTTCAATTTATCAGAAATTAATCTGACTCAGTTTCTAAAAGTGTGAAAAAATGTGTATTCTGACTGGTGTCGAACCAGGGACACTCTGAATACAATTCTGCAGCTCTACTCACTGAGCTATCGAGCCGCTTACACATCATCTCCCCTAAATAGCGAACAATTCTGAACTGTGACATACTCCCTCACTTTATTGAAATTCGTCCTCGGATTTCTTAGGGTTACAGAGCAATGTAAATCAAACTCAGTGTTATATGCATTCAAGGCCCCATATCGGGCTTCAATTGTTACAGGGTGAGAAAAATGCAGCCTGACTAGAACTCGAACCTGAGACTCTCGGAATAAGGTGCCACAACTCTACTTACTGAGCTGTCCTGCCACTTACACAATACACATCATTTCTCCTAAATAGTAAATAATTCTGAGCTATGGCACAAGGCCAAGGTGTGACTAAAAAGCATTTGTTTTAAATAATACATCTTGTTATGTATGAAGTCAAATAAAAGCTCTAACACAAGCATGGAAAAAAAACTGTGTCTGCAAATGAAATGGAAAATGTATATAGCACACCTGATTTTAAAGTTTAGCACTGATGATGCTTTAATTCAAAGGTGTGCCGTTAGTCACAGTCTCAGCATGTGTGTAGAATTTTTTTAAATGCCAGTCAGGTTTTCATTTGTGTCTGATCTTGATCTTTTGAAAATTGATGGCAAAATACTCAACATTTTATACCTGTTTGCAAAGTATGTAACATTTGAGCCGCGTCACAACAAAACCAACATAGTGCGTTTGCGACCAGCATGGATCCAGACCAGCCTGCGCAAACCCTATAACAAGTAAAGAAACTGATAGCGAACAGCATGGATCCTGATCAGACTGCGCGAATGCGCAGGATTGTCTGGATACATGCTGGTCGCAAACCGATTATGTTGGTTTTGTCGTGACGCGGCTCATTTTATATCTTATAATACCTTTCTTAAAGCTGCATGCCTCCAGATGAGCCAAAATATTTCAAGAATTAATATCAATATTGAAACAAAATGTACTAAAATTTTAAGAAAGGTAAAAACATTCAAGATCCAAGTTAACTTTACAATGTTATGTGTGGTAAAAAACTGATTTTGTGGAATTTTATCATCATATATTTAATGCGTTACTAACGCAGTAAGGGCTGTTTTTGCATATATTGACCACTTTTTGGTAATTTCTTGGATTGTAAGTGATGATTGCAATATGTAAATTAATTTATTTGTTCACTTGCAATATTTTACTTTTAAAAACATTTCTAAAATTTTCATTTAAATTTACATAAATCTGGAGGCGTGCTGCTTTAAAGTGTTTTTTTAAATTGAATAAACAGGAAATATGCCGAGAAAACGTAAAGCAGACACAGAATTGGAGGAGCTAGAAGATATGGTTCAAACCAAGAGAGTTGCGAAAGGGAAGAAACAGAAACTGGTTAAAGGTAAGAAGTTACAGTACAACCTCTGTAGAACAACCACTCCTTTGGGAGGGGAAGATTCTGGTTGTTGATGAGAGGTGTTGCTCTTGAAAGGTTAAATCTGAATATTATGAAATCTTACTTTCTGAAAACAATTCAGATTATGTCTGAAGAAGTAGTTTCTATATAGAGACCAGCTCTGCTGAATATAGAAAAGTCAAGCTGTTTATTTACCAGGTATACCATTTGGATTCATCTATCCAGCTTGCTTACAGGCCATCAGTGGTTCTACTAAGGTGCCCGTTCGTGCCTGAAAAAATGCACAGAAGGGCAAAAAAGGTCTTCCTCCACCAGTAAAGCTGGAACGTCGCCATTACCTATAATGTGTCGGTGTGACGTAAAACCTAATTAAACAAACAAACAAACTTATACATGTACCATTATTTGACCTTTTTGGAAAAATAGTGAAGCTCTCTAAATCTCTCTGGCATTGATGTTGACATTATACTTGGTTTAGTTTATTCACAAATCTTGATTACTTATTATTTACATGTTAAGAGCTTTATTACAAACTTTTAACATGAAGGTTAGGGTTATAAATTCATGATTTTATTGCAAATGCCCATAAATGTGGAAAATTTAATGTATTTTAAATAATTTTCTGCCCCTTTTGATTAAAAAAAATCCCAATAAGGTTTAGTTTTCAGAGTAATAACTCCTACACAAATACCTTTTGTTCAGAGTTCTAGCTCCTTAAATGCCTTTTGTTCAGAGCTCTAGCTCCACAAATACCTTTTGTTCAGAGTTCTAGCTCCTTAAATGCCTTTTGTTCAGAGCTCTAGCTCCACAAATACCTTTTGTTCAGAGTTCTAGCTCCTTAAATGCCTTTTGTTCAGAGCTCTTGCTCCACAAATACCTTTTGTTCAGAGCTTTAGCTACACAAATACCTTTTGTTCAGAGCTCTAGCTCCACAAATACCTTTTGTTCAGAGTTCTAGCTCCTTAAATGCCTTTTGTTCAGAGCTCTCGCTCCACAAATACCTTTTGTTCAGAGTTCTAGCTCCACAAATACCTTTTGTTCAGAGCTCTAGCTCCACAAATACCTTTTGTTCAGAGTTTTAGCTACACAAATACCTTTTGTTCAGAGCTCTAGCTCCACAAATACCTTTTGTTCAGAGTTCTATCTCCACAAATACCTTTTGTTCAGAGTTCAAGTTCCATAAATACCTTTTGTTCAGAGTTTTAGCTACACAAATACCTTTTGTTCAGAGCTCTAGCTCCACAAATACCTTTTGTTCAGAGCTTTAGCTACACAACTACAGAAAGAATGTATATAGACTGTACCTCCTAAAAGTTTCATTCTCATAATTGAAGGTCAGTGACCAAGACCCATAACTAGTGTCAATTGTCAATTCATTGCTTCCCTTTGAGATGCCCGTTAGGACTTGGACAAATTCTGTGTCGTTGAAAAACTTATTCTCAACCATTTAATGAGAATATAGCTCACTGTTTTTGTGATAGCTGTTAGCTCTTAGTACATATATAAAGTAGAGTGTGTTACCTCCAACACTAAATCAAAACACTAGGTACAGAATTAAAACATGGCTGCCTGGATCCCATAGTTCACATACACATACAGTTTAAATATTATGATTGTATGAGAAATTGTATTAGAAATCAACAAATTCAGCTATTATTTGAGAATGCTGATGTTTAATGATTTTGTTTGTTCAATCATCAAGAAAATTTCTTTAATAGACTATGAAAAAAGAAACACTTTTAATTTAGGTATTAAAAAATGTCACATGGCTTGGTCACCTTTCCATAAATGGTTTAACTTTTTCACCATAGAGACTACAGATAAAGTAAAAGCACAAACTAAGACTTCAGCGAAAGTAAAAGAAGTACCAAAAAAGAACACAAAGGTCACTAAAGAAAAGACAACAGGCAGGAAGAAAGCTACAGCAATAGTAGATAAGCCTCAAGAAAAAACCAAGGGGAAGAACTCTGCGAAATCTACAGGGAATCTTGATTTGAAAGGACTTCTGAAGGACGGTAAATGGAAAGATGTGCTGGCACCAGAGTTTGAGCAACCGTATTTTAAATCTTTAGAAGAAACTTTACAGAATGAGTATGACCAAGGCAAAGAGATATTTCCACCCAGGGATCTTATATTCAATGCTCTTCACCTCACACCTTTGGAAAAGGTGAGTAAATACTGTTATTGTAAATCTTATTAAGTCATCCCTATTTAGCCCCTCCCCTATCCAAGCTGAAGCATATATGGTTGATGCCAGTAGTGTGTGTACCCTTTATCCTTAAATCTGCACTGTAAGCCTATTTTTTAGTTAAATTTTATAAATGCAACATTTTTTTATAGAAAGTTTTTATTAAAAATTCCAGCCCTTAAAGGGAGACACAGGCAAAATTTTCATTTCTTTGATTTGAATTGTTCTTTCAATATTCTATAAATGCCCTTTAAATGAATACACTAAGCAGCCAAAGAAACAAAACTTTTCTTCTTATTAAGAATATAATGGTGGTTTCCCAACTTGACCCATGTGGGTCGGGTTAGAGCATTTAGATTTCACAATAGTTGTTATACATGTAGCTATGAAAATGTTAAAGTACCTATCAAGTGAATGACTAAGACTTATTTTAATCTAACAATATCCACAATATCTGTTAGTGTAAGTTTTTTCTAGTTACATGATTGTTTTAAAACTACTTGGTGACTCTGTCGGCGTCTTAATTTTGTTCAACATATAAAGATATAATTATGCTTCAAGCCACAAAATATATAGTATTTATACAGATATTAATGCTATGAAGTTTTAAACTGTCTTTTTAGCATGGTTTGAGTAAATAAGATCAATTTAATATTTGTGTCATTAATTTGCCTAAGTTTCCCTTTAGTCTTCAACAATGCTGAAAAATTAATTTTGAGAAATTCAATTTTTATCTGGAGGCATTTTTCTCTATGACTTAAAAACATTAGAAGATTCTATAAATATGATTTGATAATTCTGTGAATGTTACACAGTCAAACCTGTGAACAAAGGACCTACCAAACATGGCCGTTATAAACAAGTGTTCTTTATTTGGAGGTTATCCTGTTCCATTTAATCAATGAAGGTTTTTTGAAGAGTGGCCTTTATCTACAGGTTGATCTTTATTCAGAGGTGAACTTTATCACAGGTTTAATTGTATGTATGATCCACATTTTTCAGATCCTGCTATATAGCTTGAACATAGAGTAAGATAATGAATTATATGAACTATATGTATGTTATATATGTGATTTACTTGTAATCTTTTCAGGTCAGAGTGGTGATTCTTGGACAGGATCCCTATCATGACAATGGTCAGGTGGGTGTACTTTTATTATGCATTGATCTTTAACATATCATTGCAATATACATGTATATGGTTGCGTATATGCTGTACACTATAATGGGTAGATAAATCTAAGCTGTTAAACAACTGGTCAGTGATTCTGCCTTTTTGAAACATTTTGTGCCTTAAATAATATACAAAATGATTTTTTTAGCTCACCTGTCACAAAGTGACACGGTGAGCTTTTGTGATCACTTTTCATCCGGCGTCTGTCCGGCGTCCATAAACTTTTACTTTAAACAACATCTCCTCATAAACCGCTGAGTCAATTTCATCCAAACTTCACAGGAATGGTCCTATAGTGGCCACCTTAAAAACTTGTTCAAGAATTTAATTCAATGCAGAACTCTGGTTGCCAAAGAAAAAACTTAAAATATCTTCTTTAAAAAAGTCCAAAGAGGTAAACTTAGATATTTGGCATGAAACATCTTCTAGTGACTGTATATCAGTTTTGTTCAAATAAAAGCCCTGGGGTCAAAATTAGCCCCAACCCGGGGGGGGGGGGGGGGTCATTGATTTTCCTTATATGTATATAGTAAAAACTTTAAAATTCTTCTTTTGAAAAATTTAAAGAGTTAGAGCTTAGATATTAAGCATGAAATATCTTCCATGTGTGTGTCTACAAAGTTTGTTCAAATAAAAGCCCTGGGATCAAAATTGGCCCCGTCCCAGGGGTACTGATTTTCCTTATATGTCTATAGTAAAAACTTTAAAAAATCTTGTTTAAAATAATCCATAGAGCTAGAGCTTAGATATTTATCATGAGAGTATCTACAAAATTTGTTCAAATAAAAGCCCCAGGGTTAAATTGGCCCAGCCCTTGGGGGTCTGATTTTTCTTATATGTCTATAGTTAAAACTTAAAAAATCTTCTTTTAATAACCCCAAAGATCTAGAGCTTAGATATTTATCATGAAACATCTTCTAATGGGTGTTCACCAAGTTAGTTAAAAAAAGTCCCTGGGTTCAAATTAGTCCCTTCTCAACGGCCTTTATACAGGTGAGCATTTCAGGCCATCATGACCCTCTTGTTATAGTTTTTTTTTTGCCCCAATATAGTGGAGAAATTTTTTATAAAATCTCTGCATGTTCTTGTTTCAGGCCATGGGCTTATCATTTTCTGTACCAAAAGACATAGCCGTCCCGCCATCTTTGAGGAACATGTATAACGAGCTAGAGAGAGACCCGAAAATTCCTGGATTTAAGAAACCTGACCATGGCTGCCTCGTGGAGTGGGCTAATGAGGGAGTTTTGATGTTGAATGCTACACTAACTGTGGAGTGAGATTCATTTCTTACCTTTATACATTTATATAAGATATTACTGTCCCAAATGTTTCTGTAGATTGGTGTTTCTACTAGCCAATCTGACTAAAGTTCAAATCTACTTTAGTAATTTCTTGCATGTAGATCTGATTGCTACAGTATTTGTTTCGCCCTCATTGTGATTCGCATTTCCCGACAAAGCTATTTTAGCCTTAATTAAACCATTCTTTACAGATAGGCATTAGACAAAGTATTCTTGGCTATGAAATTAAAACAAATTGTTGATTTTTGTTAGAAAAAAAAAATGTTTAAAGTAATTTACAACAAATGAACTGGAAATAAAAGATTCAATTTTTCATGGGCAAGATTGTTTTGCCAGGTTAACTAACTGGCTATATGGACAACACCATGTTTGTAATCAAAATGGTGAAAAATACCTACTCAGTATTGGTTTTCCAGCGGTTAAAATTAGAGAAATCAAAATTGTGAAAGCTTGCTAATGATTGGCTGTTTGAAAGGTCACAGAAAGGTGACCTCCTATTGGTGCCTGTCAGATACAATCAGATATCAGTTATTTTCAGAACAGAAATTATGAAAACTGATATTCTCATTTAGCACTTTTTTCTTATAGTAGCGTATGAACTTACATCTTCATTCATAACTGAAAAATGACGTCATCCTAAGAACGCAATTTATTCATAAAAGGCGAATCGGCAATGACGTCATTTAAAGCAAGCAATTTGTCTTACATGGCAGGGATTTTTTTTGGCTTGTTTTATAGCCGATATTTAGTCATGTCCATAAACGGTAGATAACCTGTCTAACATGCAAGAAAATACAAAGAGAGGTCTTCTTCCCTCAGTGAAACTTAACAATGCCATGTGACAATAACAATGTTCAGATTGATTTTAAATCCAACCGTTAAGAAATGTTTTTGCTCTGTTTTAATTTTTTCCTTTAAGCTTTATATCATGGAGTAAGAATTCGAAACCGGAATATATTCAAGTGAATCTTTATGCATGTGTCCGTCCTGATTAATAATAGTATTGCAGGGTTCCCACGGTCAGGGAAAAGTCAGGGAAAAATGATTTTTTTTCAAGGTCAGGGAAAAGTCAGGGAATTTTGAAATTGGTCAGGGAAATTTGAAAAATGAGCAAAAGTCAGGGAAAAGTCAGGGAATTGTGTAGAAAATAATGTTTTTGTGAAACAGCAAGAAGCAAAATCAGTAAAAGCTAAGGCAGTTTCTTCCATCATTTTGGGTATCTTTATTGTTATTTTTGATTATGACCATCATTCTGTTTTATTTTTATATTTTTTTACTCTTAAAATGATTATGCTTCTGCCTGAAGATTCTGGATATTTTTGTCATTATTAGTAACTATCTTATTAAGAAAGAAGCTAAAAGGAGTTTAAGCATCCCTTGTCTCCTGAGCTATTTATGGTTTGTTCGTGTGAAAGAGGCTGATAATCTGCTCAGGAGGCTGAAAAAATATGAAAATGAACTTGGTTGTGAAGTAAAATGCCAATTGCAATGCCTTCAGGGTCAAGGTCAAAGAAAAGTAATAAAAGAATCAAGTAAAGATATTGAGAAACTTGAGAAAAACACTAAGTGGACTTCGATTAAGTACCAATAATTTTAGTGCCATTTGTGTTTTTTTGCACACATGCATTAAACCATAAACTTTGAAAATACTAACTGCCATAGCTAGTTTTTTATAGTAGTATTACAAGCTTTTACTGCATTTTGCTTTTAATGTAGCCACTTCATTACCTGTCTTATTGTTTCTTGTCCAACACCAGTTTTCCATTGATAACTATCATATATTTTATTAAAATATAGGCCTGTTTTAGTCAATCCTGCATTGATTACACTGCTTTGCATTTGTAAGAGAATGAAACATCTTTCAGCATAACATGTACTATCAAATACTTTACATTTTGGATAAATTTACTCATACTTGTTGAAAGTAAACAAGACAAGTTGCTTATGACAATTGCTCACTAATATTCATGGTTTTTTATCTTGAATAATTTAAAATAAAGAATTGGAGAAAATAGGTTGGCTTTTTGGGGAGGAAGAGGTCGAAATACATAGTATAAAAAATACATTTATTGCTCTAAGATTGTGCAGACTTGACACTGTTATTGGTCAGGGAAAAATGGTTTTTGGTCAGGGAAAATCATGGAAAAGTCAGGGAATTTTGATTTCTCTTCTTTGTGGGAACCCTGTATTGGTTACTGATGAAGAACCATAATTGGATTAATTTTTACACTGAATTATTCCCCTTTATGAAAGATCTTGTTTTACTATCAATCTATCATGCTTTATG